CCTGACATGTATGCTGCCGGTAAGAAGGCAGGAACAAGCAGCAGTGCCTGGCCCGGGTTCGGGGGCCTCAGGTAGACCTTGTTTCCTCTGCCGTTCCATCACAGGGGAGGGGGAGGTTCAGGAGGGGGAGGACCCAACCTTACCTGGATGTTCCATGTCTTATGTATTCTGGAAGTTGTGCAAATGCAGGGATGGGCATAGATATTCTGCTGGGGTGGGGCTGGGTTGGTGCCCTTGGACTCCGTGAGGCTCTGTAATGCTGCTGCTTTGGGCCCTGGCAGGATGGGCTGGGGTCTCCATGCCCTGGGTGGCGGTTTGGCAACAGAGGTGCCTATTGGGGCCAGTAGGGGAGCTGGCTCCCTGGAGGGCTAAGCCCAGCCAGCCATTCCTCCCCATCCCCGCATATTTCTCTCCTCCTGCTCCCTCACATCATCACACAAACATACACATAGGACCTTGGGGGTTGGGCAAGTCAGGGAGTGCGGGTATGGACCCCATTTCCGCATTCCTGTGGCAACCTGCCCCCCAATTTTATTTGCACCTTATACACTTCCACTGACGACATTCCACACAAACACACACTTAGGGCCTTGGGAGTGAGCACATTCAACGGCATTTGGCAGGGGGATATTTCAGCCTCCTCCCGGGTGCCGGTGCCCATTTCCAATTTTAAACCGCACTTAGACCCTGATGGCTGAGGGTGTAAGTGGGGTGGTGCGGTGGCACCAGCTGGCATAGGCCGGATGATGCCCTCACTGCATACTCACCACAGCCATGGAATACACCTCATGATCACACAACACTATATTGGAGCAGGCGGAGGGAGACTAGGGTCTTAGCCACCTCTGTTGTTGCTAGGCCACCTGGGGCTGGAGGCTAGGAGGGAGATCTGGCCATCTGGTTGGGGTTTGGGGTGGTGGGTTGCTGTGCTCAGCGTTGGGCGGGGGAGCCTGCTCATCAGCACCCCAGCAGAAAGGGTCAAACTCTGGTTACCGGTGATGGTTGTACCCAGTGTGCAGCAGTACCGGGACCAGAGTGAATAGGGTGTGTATGGGGAGCATGAGTGGGTGTCCGGCGTGCAGTTTTGTAAGTCTTGGGTTGTATGTGCATGTGTGAGCATGAGGGAGGGAGTGTGTGACTGTGTTTGTGTATGATTGTATATGTCAGGTGGGGCCTTTGACTCCTCCCCTCTCCTGGAACCTCTCTTGATGATATAGATCTTTGTCCCCCCTCCCCCTGCCACACCTGGTGTGAGGGGTTGTGCCATGGTCTGTCTGAGTGTTCGTGGCAACCGGGTCTGGGGGTTTAAGTTTCAGGCATCTGCCTGATAGATCCCGGTGGCTGCCTGGTGGGGTCTGGGTCCCTGGGCTCTGCCCTGGGGGGCCTTCCTGGTTGCAGTCTCCTTGGGGTTCCTGTGTTCTGGGGCAGCGCCTGGATCTCTGGGACTTGGAGCTCCCCCCGTCTCCTGCGCATCTTTGGGGGGCGGATCTGTGGTCCCTCACACTCTCTGTTGGACCTTACATAAACAAGCGCGTGTACACACACAGGTGCTCACATGGTGCTCTCAAAAGTATGGGCTTGGGAACGTTCAACACAGGTCTTAAGACTATGGTGGGCACTTAATGCACTGTGATTTATTATCGTGATTCTTCAGTTAAGCAATGTTGATTATATATTTTCTTCATCAAGTTGACGCAGTGATAGCAAGATCTTGTTGTATTGTTGTGTCCCTTTTTTTTTTGTCTTTTTCTGCAGGTCTAGAAGCAGACTCTTGTTCATTTATTTTTGTGGACCCCCCCCCCCCCCCCCCTCTCTCCCCACCTTTTCTTTTCCTTTCTCTTTCACCTCTGTCTCCGTGTCTGGTCGGAATTACAATGCATTCAACAACAATAACAATAAAGTTTTAAGTATCAGGCGTGACATTAAAAACAAACGCTTTGATGCTCCACCTGAGAGTAAATCTGTAAGGCTTGTCACCAGCATTCAGACATCAATTCTGCTTGCTTCACAGCCAGACAGGACACGGTAAAAAAAAAATAAATAAAAAAAAAGGAAAGGTGTCGCCACTGCAGGCGGAGCCGCTGCCTCGGCTGGAGGCGCCGGACATGGTGCTGTCAACTGCTGGGCTGGAGGCATCGACTGCTGGGCTAGGACCGCCAACTGGAGTGGAGGCGGAGCGGAGTCGGATGTCGGGTTTCAAGGAGAAACAGGAGAGGGAGGGAAGAGCTCGACTGAATTCATAGTTTTACATCTTGACATTAGCTGTACAAACTCTCAGTTTGATAAAGTGAAGAACAACAATTTGCAGTGGTTTATAACTGGCGCAGTGCCAGGTTTCCATTTTTGGGTGGGCCACGGTAATTTTGGACAGACCTTAATAAGCAGTGACTTAAGTGAAGCAGGCAGGTTGCGCTAAAAATTTTCTTTTAAAGACGTCATAAATCCCCTTATCATTTTTATATCTAAAATAAGTGAAAACTCCCAATTTCATTTTCATCCATTTTTCATTTATAGGCACCAGAATGCATTACCTGCACTTCTAATATTTACCTCTCGACGCAGGACTCTTTCATAAGGGTTCATGCACACCAGTAGTTTTTACAGTTATTCATGGGGCAATATCTCCCATATTTTTGAAAAAAAAAATCCATCTTCCACTTAAAGCAAAGCATCCAGCCCACCTCTCCAAATGCGTAAAATGTGTATCACAGCCGCTAGGCGCGCCGCACGCACCATCAGCTACACCAGCCCAGACAAGAGCAGAGAAAATAGACACAGAATAGAGGATAATTCTGTCCGGATGTGGATGGAGATTACATTTTACAGCAGCCTGATTATCATTTAAATACGTAAACCATCACCTGTTTTCTAGTCCACGCTATCATCAGCACTATTTTAACTGGTGTGTGCGTGTGTGTGTGTTTTCCACATCAAACACTGGTCTAACCAACCAGACCAGCGTGTCCAGTAACATATTAATGTTACAATTAAAGTTTCACTTCAGGTAGGCTAGGAACATTTCACCTGCCATGGCCCGACCGCTTCTGCTCCACATAAACTTTGTGCGTGATCAAATTCTACAAGTGCTTTCTGAGCTGAAGAGGCTATTCTGCCTCAGACAGACTGGATGCGTGTCCATATTGGAGACAGGAACAAGCACCACTCAGACAAAGTTCCATAATCAGAGAACATTTTTCCAAGTGACACATCCCTCAGAGAGACCAGGTTTCCAGACCGTTTCAGTGGGAGGAAATCTTACCGCATGCGCCGTGGTTCCGCGCTGCGCTCCGAACTCTACAGATCTTCAGCTCACTGTCCACCGTGTGAGCTCCGAGATGCGCTGAGCACAGTGTCCAGTATAAAGCTCTGATGTTCTGATGGGAATCTTTTAATGATTGATTTAGTTACCTCCGCGATGTACGTAACAATTAAAATGTCAGCTCATCTGTGTGCGCATCAGTGTGCGTCGGGGTAATTCTTTCAAAACAACCAACATCCTTGAGTTTATCCGCCAAAATAAACAGTCAAATGGAAATATCTGTAACCTGCCATTTAACTTGTGAAGATTGTTGCAAAGCGAAACAATTAAAATTGATTAACCCCAGAGCCATGCATACTGCGATGTACTCTGTGACTGTAAATGAGGGGGAAAATGATTTTATCAACTCTTTTTCTTACCTTTTCAACATGGTTTAACGTAAAGTTTCATTCAGTAGAAACTTTAGTCGCACCAATCTAATGAGACAGAGCCTGGATTTGTATTCTGAACAAACATGTTTAAAACGGAGACGTGCATGATACGTCTAAATCCGCACCTGCTCAACTATTATGGGAATTAAACTAACAAGATGAATAACAAAATTATTTTAGGCACAGACAGACTGACTTCTGGGTAAATTTGATACAAAGTGTTTTATTAATTATGTTCTTTTGAAATAACTTTGACATACACAAAAAACAGGTATTGGTTGCTGGTCAAAGCAACTCACGGCTGTTATGGGGTGGGCCCGAGTGCAAGCGGGCCCAGGCCCGGTAGGCCCACCCGTAATGCTGCAGCTGCTTCACACCCTCTTAGTAACAGAGAGCTGCGCAGTTTATGGTAAAAAAAGAAATCACAATATACTGAACAAAATAATGAACTGACCTGCATTGGGATGTTTACTATGTGAAGTGCCTTGAGACGACTCTTGTCGCGATTTGTTGCTTGATAAATAAACTTGAATTGAACTGAATATTTTGAAGCAAGTGCGATAACAACAAATATCACAATATATTATTTTATTTTGTTAAAGACCAGCTCAGTGACCTAGCTTTATGAGTGTCCGCCTTGAGACTGGGAGAAACAAGCGATGGATCGAGGGTTGGGTTATGCCAGAGACCTTAAAAAATGGACCCAATGCTTCTTTGCCTGACACTCATCATTAAGAGGTTTGATTGGTGGGGTAAAACCACCAAAATGTTCCAGAGTATGTCTGCCGCTCATCACTCCCTTGGTGGATGGATCAAATGCGGAGAACAAATTTCACCACACACCAGTGTGTGTGACAACTAAAGGGACTTTTTAATGTTTTATACACATTGTTGAACTGAACATATTTACAAAAGTGAATTGCAGCAAATAATACAATATATAAAATACCAATACCTGTTTTTTTTGTGTATGTCAAAGTTACATTTCAACAGAACATAATTAATAAAACACTTTGTATAAAATTTGCCCAGCAAAAAATGCTTCTAAAATGTAAAGGATGTCATTTAAAGAAAATGTAAGGCTGCCACCGTAAGGTGGAGGGGTTTGAGTGTCTCCATGATCCTAGGAGCTAAGTTGTCTGAGGCTTTCTGCCTCTGGAGGGGTCACTCATAGCAAACAGGTCCTAGGTGAGGGATCAGACAGAGAGCAGCCCGAAGACCTTTTATGATGAATTATATAAATGGAAACCGTGTTCCCTTGTGGTTCTTTTGCCTTATCAAAACACAAGAGACAGACAGCTTTGTCCAAATACAGCGTGGGGCATTTATTTGTACAATTCAGCCATACATCACCAACAACTCATGGGACAGCCTCCTGCCGGGAACTAAGAGCCTCGGCTGGAATCCTTCTGCAAAAGCCCTCTCTCCCTCAACACGCAGCATCAGTTATACTCGTGTTGCTGGCGCTTACTCCCACATTCCTTTGATTTCGGGAAATGATGGTGTGCTGGTTTCACTTCCCAATATGGTCAAAGAAGTTAAGAGTTACTGAAAGTTACATAAGCTTACACTGAACAACAGGATGTCAAATTGCACGTATGCAGAAGCTGGACTGATAAACAGGATGTCAGACTGCACGTACATACAGAACACTGATTTTAGCTCCTAAAGAGCCCCCCCCCATGGGGGTGTCCACCACCATAAACAAGCTGGCTACATAACATATAACATAACACATAAATGAATGTTAACATAAACCAGTAAATGGGTGTTAAATGACAAAATGACAAATACACTACAAACTTCAACCAAACTATATAGGAATATATGTAACGACGAAGTAACTGCAAGCCAACACTTGGATGAGTACATAGACACGAAGTAAGTATCAGCTGCAAGACACAACATGGAATGTGACGTCTCTAACCAACTCAGTAACACATCAAAATGCATGCACACACGGTAAGAGGGCAAAAACCTGTCCGCTGTTCTTAACAGGAAAAATTCCCCCTTGACCTCCTGGCCCAAACAGGACGATCACATAAAGCACAGAGTGAGCATACAAGTCTAGCCTAAGTATATGGCAGACATTAGGTAACATTGAAGTAACAAAAGAACACACATAAGAGAAAATGAACCGATGAAACCTTCCAACAGAGAACAAAAATCATAAGCATGATCGAGCATTAATTACCCTTAGCAATATTGCGACCAGTAACTGTACGTGAATATGCAATCAAAAAATACAAACTCATGTGAAATAAATGATTGACGTGGATACAAACGAACGACTAGGTGATGACCATGTGGCTAAACCTATAAAAAGTTAAACACAACAGTAATTGTAACGAGTATACTTGATGTAGCAACACAACTGCTCAACCGAAATAGAGAACGGAGTCAGAGTCCCAGTTGCAGAGCTGGAAAAAAAAATGGAGTGAAGAAAACACAAGAGTCAAGTTCAGTTTTATTGATGACTGCTGCAGGGGTCTTGTCGCTGGAAGAGGACTTTGAGGCCGATTCCTTAGTCGAGTACATGTAACCACAACAACAACATCTCTGATGAGACGCAAAGATTACTCCACCGCCGTCCCATCAGCCGTCCCGTTCTTCAGGCACATTGGGTGTCGTGCTGAGTCCATTGCGGCCATTTCCATTTGCACGTATTGAGACGACGCAGCAAGGTTCATTTGGGCAGCCAGAGTTCGCTCCCACAGTCTCCTCACAACAGGTAGGATGCAACATGCCAATAGAGAAATCAGAATTAGTACTACTATTGCACTAATTCCTGCTTTTACCAAAATAGCTCCCCACTGACCCAATTTGAGGGCTAAGGAGTCTTAAGGACCAGCTTTCCCTGCCTGCATTCTCCTTCAGCTCTATTTTTAAATCTTTCAATTTCCTCATACCTTCAGTAAATGCACCATCAGGGGCCGTATTACTTGGAATGTAGGTGCAACATTCTTGCCCACTGGAGTTCAGAAACTTACAGAGCCCACCTTTCTCGGCCAGCAACCAGTCCAAAGCCTGGTCGTGCTGCAAAGTCATTTTGACTGTGGCATGAAGTTGTTCACCCAAGAGGCCAAGGTTATTTACTGTGTAATTTAAGATTCTTTGCTGATTAAAATAAACAAAGTTGATCCATTTCACATTCTTATTTATTGTTATCCAAGGAAGAATTGACTCTAAACCAGCTATTACCTCATCTCTTGCTTGAAATTCTATGGGAATTCCTGTTGGCAGTCCTATGGCGTTTAAATGCACTTTATGATCAAACACATCATACCTCTTTGTCCTACGTCTATTGGTAGTCTCCAACTGAAGTAATTCACTCACACCTTCATGCAAGATAGTCAATGGAACTTGCATATGCACTAGCGTACACAACCCAACCCAAAAACTTGGCAAAACATTCATTAGAACATCACCACCACACATCCAGTAGCTGTCGGCCACTGGAATGTCTTGCTCACCTATGAGATCCAGAGTGGGAATCGTCATCGATATGTCATCACAATCCTGACTAAGAGTTACAGGGTTTTCATACCAAACAGGGGTGTCAATGAGAAGTGGCGTCATATTTGCATGCGGGAACCAGGATAATACCCAAGTGACGTTACAGTTGACAGATGTATTACCTACGTCCACTCCTCCATCGTCAGCAAAACCTCCACTTGCAAAACATTCATAATCAGCACTATAATCAATTTTGTAGTCCGTTGGAGGACCATTTTGGTCTGTTTGGATTGCAAACTCAGCACATTCCTCTAGGATGTTATATTCTGCATATTTTTAACATATTTGTACTTATCTCGTGTACCATGGAGCAATCTGCATTGGAGTCCACACATTGGCAGCTTAAGAAGAGGTGGAATCTGTTTATTTATCTCTATTTCCTTTTTAGTCTTACATGTGCGTCGTTGTGTAATGGCACATTCACTAGAAATATACTTTTCTGGAACAACCTCAGGTAACATTCCGGGTGCTTGAGCGCACACTATGCAGTGATTAGGAGTCATTTTTCTCGTCGTATACAAAGCCCATTTATACCAACTATTTTGCATGGCGGCATCCCAAAGCCTATCCTCTATAGACAATGGTCTGCTCACTCTGGGGGAGATAGGTCCTGCGTTGCTTCCGGACCTAGGTCTAATCGGCCCAAATAGTGGCTTAGGTACAGCTTTGCGATTGGTCACTTCTTGTTCATTTTGTCCTTTTTGAGTTAGATTACGAACATGGTTACTACCAGAGGTTGCTGTGGGAAAACCAGATTTCACAGCTACACCTCCTGTGGGAGTTGTAGTACTAACAGGTGGCTTAGTGGTTACGCTTCTCAGCTTGCTAATTGGCGTTGTTTCAAGTCTTAAAGTCAGCGGAGTCACTGGCTGTAAGAGAGAGGAAGAGCTCCAGTCGGCCCTCCCCTCTTCAACGGGGCTGTGGTAGTCAACACATCAGGGATTACAGTAGTAGTAGTGCTAGTAGTTAAAACATTATTTGGAACTGTGGTCACACTGTCAGGGATTTTATTTGTCTTAGTTGTGGTCAAAACATTGTTTTGAATCGTGGTTGTAACACCAGTTTTAACCAGATTATCTCCGGTTCTATTCTTCTGAACATGTCCGACGTGTTGGCTGAAGAAGAATAGAACCAGAGATAAAACAAGTTTTGGTTCGGAGCAAGAGTTTATAAAGAGGTTAGCGAGATCCAGCATTTATTTTGGTAACCAGCTTCCACTTATTGGAAAGCAAATTAGCATATTAGCTAAATGTTTAAGTACCAGCTAATTATTTATTTTCCACAATGTTATTTAGCTCCACACTATATTTTATATTTTTGGGTCAGACTTAAATATTTATTTCTCAAATACTGATTTTGCAAAGTAAATGTTTAGCTCCAAAATAAATATTTAGCTGGGATCTAAAAAAATTTTCGGAAAATAAATATTTAATTTACAAATTAAATATTTAGTTCCAAAATAAATATTTAACTGGTAAATTAAATATTTAGTTAGTGAATAAAATAATAATTTTACAAACTAAATATTTAGATCAGACCTAAATATTTAGTTTGCAAAATAAATATTTAACTACAAATTAAATATTTAGCTTGCTAACTAAATATTTATTTGGAAACTTTAACATTTATAAATGTATGAATAACATGGTGAAAATATGACTTCAAAAAAGTGAACTCCCAATTTTATCTCTTATAATATGCTAAATAACCAAAAATATTGCTGTAAGATTATGACTGTTTGACTTTACAAATGGCACCCCATACTCCTCTTGAGCTGCTTAATGCCATACAGGATGCAATTACAGAGCATTTTTGGAGAAGTTTGTATTGGACTGAGGATATTTTGCACACTACCTGTGACTGTTGCTGGGGGTGAACGGGCTTTTAGCAAACTGAAACTGGTGAAAAATTATTTGAGATCAACAATGTCCCAGGATAGACTGAACAGCCTAGCTCTTCTTTCTATTGAAAGCCAATTAGCCAAAGGATTGGACTTTAAAGATCTCATAAGTGATTTTGCTAACATGAAGACCCATCAGTGGGCATTTACTGGAAAATAAATTTCAGGATTTTTGTTTGAGCACATTGTTGGCAAATAAAAATAATTATATGTGAAGTCTGGGCATTTCACTTTTATTATGCTGGCATTTGTATTTGCTCAATATAGAGGTTAAACTAAGATCATATTCATTATCTTGTCTTATAGCATGACAAAAAATGTGTAAGAGAGATAGTGAGTAATTGAGCATGGGGGCCCACCTAGAAGACTTGTACCTAGGGCCCAGAATTTGGTGCTACGCCCCTGCCTATGGCTCACCAACCAATCCACACACAGAGGTGGAGTCAGAGGCGGGATCGCTTCTGTACTTCTGTGTCTGTGTGTGTGTGTGGAAAGGAGCGCACACACAGCTGGTAGGTGGAGCTTACACTTCTGCACTGGTCCCCTGTCCAGTCTAAGCTTAGAGTCTGACAGCTGAGGTTGTCTGTATGGAGAAACAAACACGCTGATGACACCCACGTTCATTCAGCCTTCAGAATTTAACAACTCTCAAACAGCTTTATAACATTACAATACAGGAAAGAGTCAACCACAATAGAGACCGAATCAGCAGAAGAAAAATCAGTTTCTCTCTAATTTATCCAAGCAATAGTTTAAAACAAAATCAGAGTATTTGAGCTTTCACCAAACCTTTTTCTTATCTAACCTAACACAAACCATCCATATTTTGTCAAACACTTCCACGAGTAAAACAACCACACACAGCAGAGCTTTCACACTTGCATAAAGATGAGAAAAACACACTTCAGAGCAGTTTGACACTGGAGCAACATTTCATGCCAAACACGCAATACACATAAACATTATTATTTATTTATTAATCATAATCTATATTTCTCATGTTTCCCATTACCCAGCTGGTAAAAATAGTTATCAAGCTTGTGCACTTCAGTATATATTTTTATTTATATATATATGTCACTCTAAAAACTTATTATTTTAACTTCTGGTTTTCTGCTTAAAGACTTATCAGAACAAGATCACAGACTTTGAAATTTGTATAACCTTAAACATCAAATTTAGCACTGCAGTGAATGTTGTTGATCTGTTTTACACCGTTTTTTTAAGGCTTCTCCTAGTTTTTTCTCTTTTTTTCTTTTTCCTCCTTCTAACCTCTGGCGCCTCATACACACACAGCTGGTCTCACACACACACGCTGGTCTCAGCGCACACACACACAGCTGGTCTCAGCACACACACGCTGGTCTCAGCGCACACACACAACTTTTCAAAGTCCCCGAGCTCCAGGACCTTGTTTTTACAGCCTCTTTGCTGCAACTATGACATCATCAGGCCTCACATGCCTTTGCCATCAACTCATGAAATTTACCACTCCCCGGGGAATTGACCGAAATACAAGCAAAGCTTATCTCTGTCACAACTTCAGCGCTTTTTCTTCAACTGTTATCTTTAAATCCCCGTCTCTGCTCTACCGAGTCAGCAGACTGGATTTCTCAGAACCTTATCAGCTGTTCAAATTCTATTCCAGTTTGCTGTCCCACCTTTAATTTGTCACTTAAAATTTGTCCGTCATCAAAATGACTCAGCTGACTTCACACATGTGTGAACATTTTTCACCGCTGCTCTGGACAAATGCCTTCTCTTGTTGTTATAACTTCTAAATTATGAGCAGGGCATGTTTTTTCTCCCAGACCAGTTCACAATCAACGGAATAACTCCAAAATTGAACAAAAATTGTTCTTACCTATAGGGCCCAGGAGTCAAAATTCCAAAGACCGTGAACCGATCCGAAGAGCAAGCCTCTACTCCTGCTTCGTGGTCGCCAGAATGTGGTTCTTTTGCCTTATCAAAACACAAGAGACAGACAGCTTTGTCCAAACACAGCGTGGGGCATTTATTTGTACAATTCAGCCATACATCACCAACAACTCATGGGACAGCCTCCAGCCTGGAACTAAGAGCCTCGGCTGGAATCCTTCTGCAAAAGCCCTCTCTCCCTCAACACGCAGCATTAGTTATACTCGTGTTGCTGGCGCTTACTCCCACATTCCTTTGATTTCGGGAAATGATGGTGTGCTGGTTTCACTTCCCAATATGGTCAAAGAAGTTAAGAGTTACTGAAAGTTACATAAGCTTACACTGAACAACAGGATGTCAGACTGCACGTACACACAGAACACTGATTTTAGCTGCTACACCCTCGCCCGGACGTGAGTCACCAGAACCCCTCTCTGGAGCCAGGCCTGGAGGTGGGGCACGTTGGCGAGCAGCTGGTGGCTGGGCTTTCACCCATGGAGCCCGGCCGGGCACAGCCCGTGGAGGAAAAGTGGGACCCCCTTCCCATGGGCTCACCAGTCGTGGGAGGGGCAAAAGGGGTCGGGTGCAGTGTGTGACGGTTGGTAGTCGAGGGCGGGGACCTTGGCGGACTGATCCTCGGCTACAGAAGCTGGCTCTTGGCACATGTAATGTCACCTCTCTGGTGGGGAAGGAGCCTGAGTTGGTGTGTGAGGTTGAGAGGTTCCGACTAGATATAGTCGGACTCACCTCAACACATGGCTCTGGAACCAGTTTCCTTGAGAGGGATTGGACTTTCTACCACTCTGGAGTTGCTCCCACTGAGCGCCGAGCAGGGGTTGGCATTCTAGTTGCCCCCCATCTTGGTGCCTGTATGTTGGGGTCTACCCCAGTGAATGAGATGGTGGCCTCCCTCCGCCTATGTGTGGGGGGACGGGTTCGGACTGTGGTCTGTGCTTATGCACCAAACTACAGTTCAGACTACCCACCCTTTTTGGAGACCTTGGAGGGGGTGCTGGAAAGCGCTCCTTCCGGTGACTCCCTCGTTTGCTGGGGGACTTTAACGCTCATGTGGGCAACGACAGCGATACCTGGAGAGGTGTGGTTGAAAGGAACAGCGCCCCTGATCTGAATTCGAGTGGTGATTTGTTATTGGACTTCTGTGCCAGTCATGGATTGTCCACAATGAACACCAAGTTCAGACATAAAGGTGTCCATATGTACTCTTGGCACCATGATACCTTAGGCCGCAGCTCGATATCGACTTTGTTGTTGTTTCATCTGACCTGCAGCCACATGTCTTGGACACTCGGGTGAAGAGAGGGGCGGAGCTGTCAACTGACCACTACCTGGTGGTGAGTTGGCTCAGATGGTGGGGGAGGATGCCGGTTAGACCAGGCAGGCCCAAACGTATCGCGAGGGTCTGCTGGGAACGTCTGGCAGAGTCTCCTGTCAGAAGGAGCTTCAATTCCCACCTCTGACAGAACTTCCTAAATTTCCGGGGGAGGCGGGGGACATTGAGTCTGAATGACCCTGTTCCGTGCCTCCATTGTTGAGGCGGCTGACCGGAGCTGTGGTAGCAGAATCGTCGGTGCCTGTCGTGGTGGCAACTTCCTAACCCGCCAGTTAGGGATGCTGTCAAGCTGAAGAAAGAGTCCTATCAGTTCTTTTTGGCCTGTGGGACTTCAGAGGCAGCTGGCAGGTACCGGCAGGCCAAGCGGAACGCGGCTCGGGTGGTCGCCAAGGCAAAAACCCAAGCATGGGAGGAGTTCGGTGAGACCATGGAGCAAGACTTCCGTATGGCTTCGAGGAGATTCTGGTCCACCATCCGGTGCCTCAGGGTGGGCAGTGCGCTACCATCACTATCTATAGTGGGGACGGTGTGCTGCTGACCTCTACTCAGGACGTTGTGGATCGGTGGGCAGAATACTTCGAAGACCTCCTCAATCCCACCAATACATCTTCCAGTGAGGAAGCAGAGTCTGGGGACTTTGGGTTAGCCTCTCAAATCTCTGGTGCTAAGGTAACTGAGGTGGTTAAAAAGCTCCTCTGTGGCAAGGCTCCAGGGGTGGATGAGATCCGCCCGGAGTTCCTTAAGGCTCTGGATGTTGTGGGGCTGCGTTGGCTGATGCGGCTCTGCAATATCGGGTGGACATCGGGGGCAGTCCCACTGGACTGGCAGACCGGGGTGGTGGCCCCCTTATTTAAAAAGGGGGACCGCAGGGTGTCTTCCAACTACAGGGGGATCACACTCCTGAGCCTTCCTGGTAAGGTCTGTTCAGGCATTCTGGAGAGGATAGTCCATCGGATTGTTGAACCTCAGATTCAGGAGGAGTAATGTGGTTTTTGTCCTGGCCGTGGAACACTGGACCAGCTCTATACCCTTAGGGGGATCCTGGAGGGTGCGTGGGAAGTTGCCCAACCAGTCTACATGTGTTTTGTGGATTTGGAGAAGGCGCTTGATCGCATCCCTCGGGGGGCCCTGTGGGGGGTACTCCGGGAGAATGGGGTGCCAGGCCCTCTGATACAGGCTCTTAGGTCCCTGTATTACCGGTGTCAGAGCTTGGTCCGCATTGCCGGCAGTAAGTCGGGCTTGTTCCCAGTGAGTTGGACTCCGCCAAGGCTGCCCTTTCTCACAGATTCTGTTCATAACCTTCATGGACAGGATGTCTAGGCACAGCCAAGGTGCGGATGGCATCCGTTTTGGTGGCCTGAGGATCAGGTCTCCGCTTTTTGCAGATGATGTGGTCCAGTTGGCTTCATCAGAATGTGATCTTCAGCTTTCGCTGGAGCGGTTTGCAGCTGAGTGTGAAGCAGCTGGGATGAGAATCAGCTCCTCTAAATCTGAGACCATGGTCTTGATTCGGAAAAGGGTAGAATGCCTTCTCCGGGTCAGGGATGAGGTCCTGCCCCAAGTGGAGGAGTTTAAGTATCTCGGGGTCTTGTTCACGAGTGAGGGAAAACTGGAGCGTGAGATCGATAGACGGATTGGTGCTGCCTCTGCAGTGATGCGGGCGTTGTACCAGTCTGTCGTGGTGAAGAGAAAGCTGAGTCAGAAGACGAAGCTCTCAATTTACTGGTCAATCTACGTACCTACCTATGGTCATGAGCTTTGGGTAGTGACGGAAAGAACGAGATCGCGGATACAAGCGGCCGAAATGAGTTTTCTCCGAAGAGTGTCTGGGCTCTCCGTTAGATATAGGGTGAGAAGCTCGGCCATTCGGGAGGGGGTCGGAGTAGACCCGCTGCTCCTCCACATCAAGAGGAGCCAGTTGAGGTGGCTCGGGCATCTGGTCAGAATGCCCCCTGGACGCCTCCCTGGTGAGGTTTTCTGGGCACGTCCAACCGGGAGGAGATCTAAAGGTAGACCCAGGACACGGTGGGGGGACTATGTCTCTCACCTGGCCAGGGAATGCCTTGGGATTCCCCCGGAGGAGCTGGCCCAAGTGGCTGGGGAGAGGGAAGTCTGGGCCTCTCGCCTAAGGCTACTGTCCCTGCGACCCGACTCCGGATAAGCGGATGAAAATGGATGGATGGATGTAACAATCAAAAATTATTTAGGGTTAGGGTTAGTGGAAAACTGACAGGCATTTAACTACAGTCTAAGTTCATCCCCATATCATAGCTAAAGTTCTGATGAGAGTTAAATAGAGACCATATTCTCTCCTGTCTTAGCTTCCCTACATTGGCTGCCTGTTAAATTCAGAATATAGTTTAAGATCCTCCATCTCACATATAAAACTCTTAATAATCAAGCTCCATCATACATCAGTGACCTGATTGTTCCATATGTTCCTAACCGAGCACTTAGCTCTCAGACTGCAGGTTTACTGGTGGTTCCCAGAATATCTAAAATTAGGATGGGAGGCAGATCTTTTAGTTATCAGGCTCCTCTCTTGTGGAACCAACTTCCAGCTTTAGTCCATGAGGCAGACACCTTGTTTACTTTTAAGACCAGGCTTAAAACATTTCAATTTGATAGGGTCTATGGTTAAAATCTGATGTTAGCCCAGATCTGGACAAGTGGGGGAGTAGAGGGGGGTGGAGTGTACAGTTGGTAAAGATGGCTCTCCCTTGCCCCGTCTCCAACATGCCTCCATCTAAAAGGCTAGATCAGTGGTTCCCAAACTTATTTAGCCGCGCACCCCCTTCTATGTCCCGACCATGTCGACGCATCCCCCCCCCCCCCACATCGGGGCATGGCTCTATATATATATATACATATATATATATACAGTTGTGGTCAGAAGTTTACATACACTTGTAAAAAATATAATATAATGGCTCTACTGAGTGTCCCGTTATTTCTAAAACTCAGATTTTTCTCTGATAGAGTGATTGGAACAGATACTTCTTTGTCACAAAAAACATTCATGAAGTTTGGTTCTTTAATGTCTTTATTATGGGTTAACAGAGAAAAGTGATCACATTTGCTGGGTCACAAATATACATACAGCAACATGATCTAGCAATTTTAGTGACTTAGAAACGTGTCAGTGAACTGAGCTTCACAGCATGGCCTCTTAACTTCTTGTGAGTGATTATGAGTGACTACAGCTGGTGACTTCTCTTAGGCCAGGTAAATAGGGCTCATTGGATACAAACGCCCACAAACGCTACAATGGGAAAGTCAAAGGAGCTCAGCATGGATCTGAAAAAGCGAATTATTGACTTGAACAAGTCAGGAAAGTCACTTGGGGCCATTTCAAAGCAGCTGCAGGTCCCAAGAGCAACAGTGCAAACAATTGTTTGTAAGTATAAGGTGCATGGCACTGTTTCATCACTGCCAAGATCAGGAAGAAAACGCAAGCTATCACCTGCTGCTGAGAGAAAATTGGTCAGGAGGGTAAAGAGTGAACCAAGAATCACCAAAAAGCAGATCTGCCAAGAATTAGAAGCTGCTGGAACACAGGTGTCATTGTCCACAGTCAAACCTGTTTTGCATCTCCATGGACTGAGAGGCTGCCGTGCAAGAAGGAAGCCCTTGCTCCAAAAGCGGCACCTTAAGGCTCGACTTAAGTTTGCTGCTGATCACATGGACAAAGATA